CACCCTGATGCTTGGCTTAGGCAATTTCTGAAAAATAACATGAACCGTCACTTGCCAATTAGCTCAGTGAGATAGAAGACGGACCTCAGTCTCAGAAGTTGTGAGTTCAAGCCTCAGCTAAGGCAGAACGGACATTCTAATGTGAAAGTCCTATGTTCAGGCATCATGCTATGTGGATTAGAGACTAGTAAGGTTAAAATAATTATGATCCAGGCAGTTTTGCGGAGAGACAAATACTCTTTATCAACACTTTTCCCTGTTATCCCTTGTCTCTTTTCCCTGTTTATTTGGCTTAGCTATCAGTCAGTATGCAGAGTCTATCCAATAGCTACTTTTACATTTTAAAAAATGTTTTCATCTTTGTCACCATGGATAATGTTTAGCTTTAAGCTAGATCAGGCCAGTTTGTTCATAATTGCTAGCAGTTAATGTTATTCTTACTTTCTTGTTCTTGAGTTTTTTCTTTCCTTTGTATATTATGAGTCTGATCACTTCAGCCACTCATCCACAATTTGAAGGGCATGCCATAATTATATGATGTAACTTCTATGTTGTGATATGCTTTGTTGTAGTGTGTGTGTGTATTACATTTTTCACATGGGCTTTTACATATACCACACATTAAGTGTTTTATGATGAAATTAATTATGACTTCTTATCAGTATAATGAGCTAGAAGAAGTTTTAAACATATATACCGCAGAGTTGTCTCTTGCTAATTAGCTCAGTGAGATAGTCTCTTATGCTTAGAATGCCACCTTTTTTTCATCTTTCTACACTCTGCTTGTTGCTCAGAATTGCCTAATTTTGCCTAAAAACCATTGCTGAGCAGCATCTATAATTTGAATTTGGTTTTGTCGTTTTCCGTTTTTTGATTCTGATAACAAAAACGGAAAAACGGCTCCGTTTTTTCATTTTTTAGTTTTAAACCAAAAAGGAAAAAACGGAAAAACCATGGTATTTCCGTTTTTCTGTTTTTGGTGTAACAAGAAAAAACGAACTGCCTGAAGGTACCCTGACCCACATTCACCTATTCACATACAAACCCATTCATACACTGGTGGTCGAGATTACTGTACAAAGTGCCACCTACTCAACAGTTCAACACACACACACACACACACACACACACACACACACAGTCACACACCAGTGTGACAATGTGAGGTTCAGTATCTAGCCTAAGGATACATCAACATGCAGACTTTACTCTTGAATGCATTATACTGTATACTGAATACTATGGCTTTAACATAGTTACATCATAGTGCAATCCAGTACTAAAACTCATGCTCTTTTAAAACCAGTCATAGCAGACTGGCCTCATGAAAGAAATGGTCTAATGTGATATTGTAGTTCTACAGTCCATAGTCTAACCAGTTTATCCTGTCACAGCACTGGGAACAATATTAGAGGGCTATAACCCATGAATAAATCAATGGGCACTCAACATGCACTTTACACACTCACCAATAGACAGCAACAGTCATTTTTACAATTGTGTAATATCTATGGCTTTATTTTACTTTATAATGATTTGTTGGGGTGATGCAAGCTATCAGAGTCATAATTCGGAGTAACTCTAGGGGAAAATTTGTCAGATAATCCAGGTAAAAATTGCTGATTTGTGATGTGAAATATGAGCTGTTATTGCAGTGGGAGTAATCACAAACATTCAGCCTGAGATTAAAGAGGGTGTTAAAATGCTGACTTGCATCCCATCCCTGATGATGGTAATAAAACCTCTGCAGTAATAACACAGTGCCCATATAAAACCTGTTATCATGGCACACACTCAGCACATCTTTGAAGCTCTCTATCTACTGACTCAGTCTAGGTGTATATCTGCTGGTCTGATTACATTAAGTCCCGTGTTAGAGCACAGACCTCATGGGTTTTGTGTTTGATCACAACAGGGGATGAGCTTCTTTACAAATGGGGACCCCCACAGGGTACATGAGGCATTTGGACACGGGGCATAATGTTAGTAGCTTTAAGTTTACATTTCACATGAACCACTACACAGAGGTGTCTGTAAAAATGGTCATGTCGTACCGAAAAAGTATATTTAAAAAAAAAAAAAAGAAAACAGTTCAAATCCTGCTGTGTAACATTCACAAAAACATTCCAGACAAATGTTTCATACAAATGACCACAGACTTATAGTATATGTCTACGTTTTCTGCCCTAATCTCTGATCAAGCCCTGTGACTGCACGTAGGTGTAAGAAGTTAAATAGGAGGAACAAATCAATGAATAAGCCAATATGGACACAAATAATTCTTGGGTGGACCTCCTAGTTTCTAACAGAGTTGGGATGCAGCTGCAGAGGCTCTACAACCAACCTCAAAATTACATTAATGTACTACTAATCTGCAAAAGCAAATACATTTTGAGAGAAACATAATACAGCTCAGATTATGTTTTATATTAACATGATGAGGACATTTTTCTTAAGGAATGTATCTGTGAAACATTAACCGACAGCGTAATTTGCTTTTCCACAATATCCACATGTGGAGACTAAAGCATGATGAACATTCATATAGTTATGCTTAGGCCCAAAGCACCTGTTACGTTGGGAGGAGATATGTATTGAAAAAGTCAACAGTGACTTTTGTCAGGGGAGGCAAGAGGCAGGATGTTTTGAACCAAAATGACCATGTTTCCATAACCAAAGTGCATTTGTAGCCTAAACTGAACCTAATGCAGGACTCATGTGGATGCAAACCCTGGTCTTAGAGTCCAGTTTTTGTTCACCAACAGCACTTTTGTTTACTGGAAAAAAAACTGCTGTTGGTGAACATATTAAAGACAGCTATTGCTTTTTTTTTTTCCAAGATACAGTACAGGCCAAAAGTTTGGACACACCTTCTCATTCAATGCGTTTTCTTTATTTTCATGACTATTCACATTGTAGATTCTCACTGAAGGCATCAAAACTATGAATGAACACATGTGGAGTTATGTACTTAACAAAAAAAGGTGAAATAACTGAAAACATGTTTTATATTCTAGTTTCTTCAAAATAGCCACCCTTTGCTCTGATTACTGCTTTGCACACTCTTGGCATTCTCTCCATGAGCTTCAAGAGGTAGTCACCTGAAATGGTTTCCACTTCACAGGTGTGCCTTATCAGGGTTAATTAGTGGAATTTCTTGCTTTATCAATGGGGTTGGGACCATCAGTTGTGTTGTGCAGAAGTCAGGTTAATACACAGCCGACAGCCCTATTGGACAACTGTTAAAATTCATATTATGGCAAGAACCAATCAGCTAACTAAAGAAAAACCAGTGGCCATCATTACTTTAAGAAATGAAGGTCAGTCAGTCCGGAAAATTGCAAAAACTTTAAATGTGTCCCCAAGTGGAGTCGCAAAAACCATCAAGCGCTACAACGAAACTGGCACACATGAGGACCGACCCAGGAAAGGAAGACCAAGAGTCACCTCTGCTTCTGAGGATAAGTTCATCCGAGTCACCAGCCTCAGAAACTGCAAGTTAACAGCAGCTCAGATCAGAGACCAGATGAATGCCACACAGAGTTCTAGCAGCAGACCCATCTCTAGAACAACTGTTAAGAGGAGACTGGTCAAAAAGCTGCTAGGAAACCACTGCTAAGGAGAGGCAACAAGCAGAAGAGATTTGTTTGGGCCAAGAAACACAAGGAATGGACATTAGACCAGTGGAAATCTGTGCTTTGGTCTGATGAGTCCAAATTTGAGATCTTTGGTTCCAACCGCCGTGTCTTTGTGAGACGCAGAAAAGGTGAACGGATGGATTCCACATGCCTGGTTCCCACTGTGAAGCATGGAGGAGGAGGTGTGATGGTGTGGGGGTGTTTTGCTGGTGACACTGTTGGGGATTTATTCAAAATTGAAGGCACACTGAACCAGCATGGCTACCACAGCATCCTGCAGCGACATGCCATCCCATCCGGTTTGCGTTTAGTTGGACCATCATTTATTTTTCAACAGGACAATGACCCCAAACACACCTCCAGGCTGTGTAAGGGCTATTTGACCAAGAAGGAGAGTGATGGAGTGCTGCGGCAGATGACCTGGCCTCCACAGTCACCGGACCTGAACCCAATCCAGATGGTTTGGGGTGAGCTGGACCGCAGAGTGAAGGCAAAGGGGCCAACAAGTGCTAAACACCTCTGGGAACTCCAAGACTGTTGGAAAACCATTTCAGGTGACTACCTCTTGAAGCTCATCGAGAGAATGCCAAGAGTGTGCAAAGCAGTAATCAGAGCAAAGGGTGGCTATTTTGAAGAAACGAGAATATAAAACATGTTTTCAGTTATTTCACCTTTTTTTTTTAAGTACATAACTCCACGTGTTCATTCATAGTTTTGATGCCTTCAGTGAGAATCTACAATGTAAATAGTCATGAAAATAAAGAAAACGCATTGAATGAGAAGGTGTGTCCAAACTTTTGGCCTGTACATTTGGCAAAATATGGAGGTAGGAGGTACAATAAGAACAGAGATTAGTTAGATCAGTAGCAGTTTGTTTCTTTGAATCTTAGTCCAATATGTTTTCATTCCATGTTGTCACATATTGCCACTTTGGCTACGTTACAAAATGACGCCACCCGGTGGCAGATCATACCGCTGTGAAAGTGGCTATTGGCATTAGTATCTGACACCAAAATCACTGACAAAGCAGTGTTATTTGATGACTTTGTAATGAGAACAGGCTGCTTATTCAAGTGTTCAGAGTGCTTTGTTGATCAATGGATCTAATCTTATCTTATCATGGATCAATGCATTAATAAATATTTTAGTAACACAGCAGGACACCCAGTCATCATGTATACCTCTTGAGGTTTTGGCACACTCATTTTCAATTCAATGACATATTTGTTTTCAAGCTCTTAAGAAAAGTAGCAAGTATAGAGAGTGTGTGTTTATGGGTGTGTATAAGAGCAGATGATGGACTAAGAGTAAACTATCACTCCACATATCCAGAGAGACTAATCACTCTTTGGGGTACTTTACTTTAGGACTTTGAGCTTGCGTCTCATTGGCCAGGGTCTGGTCCGAATATTGGCTATGATCTCCTTCTGGTACTGAATGTTCTGGAACATCTCCTCTGGGTCATTGCTGTCCACCCGCTCATCCTCTTTATCTTCATCATCTGAGGAGCTGCAGGAGTAGACACAGGGGCACAATGAAAAAGGTCTCGGTCTCTTAGCATCATAACAAAAATAAAAGTTAAGAATGTCATTTTTGGAATGGTATGAAAATGTTTTGGGCTTGGAGGGGGGGCTGACCCTTATGGTTCACTAAATTAGACTAAATAAAAGTTCAAATAGACAACATTATATTAAAGGAATACTTTACCTGCAAAATGTCTGTAAATCAATTAGTCATGTCATATTACCTCAGAGGAAAACTTTGTTGTTTGAGTTATTTTATCTGCGTAACTTGATGTATTCAACCTACGTCAGGTGAAATATATGACGTTACTTTATATTAGTAACACACACCTGTTTTGACTCAAACTGTGATTTTTTTTTCTAAATCTAACCAAATACTTTTGTTGCCTAAATTCAAAAACAAAGTAAACCTACTTTGGTTTAGGTTTATTTTGAAAGGAGACTGTATGCATGTAATGAGCGGACACTGTAAAAAAAGACACTATGTATCCTACTATCAGAAATTTACATGCCATCCTCAGTGTCCAAACTGATACTTAAGGGCTAGCTAGAGTGTCATAGTTTGACATGCAGGGGCACTGACCAAGCCTTGGTATTTGACTAGTTGGTAATGTGAATGTCTTGTAAAAGTACGTCTGAATTAGATCAGATGTTGTGGCGTGGAATATATGAGATCAGTTGTCTATGGGTTTGCTGACGATCAAACCCATAATATGATACCTGAGTGAAAATATCAGCTGTGTAAGATACTCAGAGGAAACTGTTTCCCTGGGACAGCTGCCCCAAGCAGTGCAATAATAAATAGTGATAATTCAAAAAAAACACATAATTCCTGTCTGTAAAATGTTGAATTCAGTGTGCACTGACTGGGCCTTATTTATAAGACAAAAATATGAAAGATAAGTGGGTGTACAGTCATCTCCACACATTTATCAATGTGGACATGAGCAGAGGCGACAATCAAATATGATGTCAGGACTATTCATGTACAGAAGTTGTAGTCAGGGTGGACTGGTAGTACAGCATAGTAAATCTGGCTGAGTCAGAGAATTGTTTTTAGTATTTGGAGGCACATATTAATTACTTAAAATGGACTAGCTCTGTGGGGCTGGCTCTGTGGGCTAACTCTATGGGACTGGCTGTGGGACTGGCTCTGTGGGGCTGGCTCAGTGGGGATGGCTTTGTGGGGCTGGCTCTGTGAGGCTGGCTCTATGGGACTGGCTCTGTGGACAACAATGGCACCCAACTGTAATTCATCTGAAACTTTAAAAAAAATAAAATAAAAAAAAACACTGACACGCCAAGTAATGTTTATATCATTTATCATTAAAACATTCTGAAAAAGAAATGATTAAACCATTTAACAGTGTCATTATTTAAACACTAGTGGCCCAGGCGATTCCATTTTTACTGATGTCCAGCTCAGAAGCAGGTGGTGCGTCTCCTCCACCACCTGTTATGCCAGAAATGGAAGCAGAGCGGAGCGGAGCCTAACGCTCCTCGGTCTGGGTTCATTATAAGCTTTAAATGAATACAATAATAACAATCATATTGCATGATATATTGATGAATATTATTAATATACGTAGGCTTAAGGTCAGTACATATCTACATGTAAAAATTTTCAACCTCAGCTTGAGTTTGACTGTTCACTGCAACACTGTGGACTGCAGCGGTGATTTCTTTCCATTTCCTTTGATGCCACTTTTCAGGTTGCCAAATAGAACCATTGGGTTAAAATGGACCTGGGACATCAGCATTTCCATTTCCAGCTGAGAGAAGTTTCTCTTCTCCATGTTGTAAACTCTAGGGACAACTCCCTTAAACCAAGAATGTATTTTTGTGGGATATTCAAATGATGATTGTTTTAAGTGGCTGCATTTATCAATGCCCAATCATTCCTATGCTGTGACTGGTGAGATAAGAATGTTTCATGAATCACACGTAAACCCTGTCCTTAGATGTCTGTGCTTGGATCTGTACTGGTTTGTATATTAGATAATAAATGAGGGACATTATTTGTATGTCTTACAACATGCCAGAAGGAATCTTTACAACAGCTAATGGATTTTGATGCTAATGTATTTTGACGAGAAAAGTAAAGATTGGTTATCATTTGCATCATAGCAAAATGCACCTCCATAGCTTGTATGCACACAAAAGCAATTTTAATGATGATTTTCAAGGCTGAAATAAATTATAACCTTCTCCTTTGTCTGATGGCTCAGACCTCAACATTTAAACATTTAAATAAAGCTGCATGCTTTATATGCAAGAGAAAAAAGGTGAGTCATAAATGGAGAATAAATTCGTATGTTCAAATGTGGACAGCATTTCAATTAAAAGGAAGATTCGGATCACTGTGAAAGGAACAGTCAGAATCTCCCACCCCCACTTTTTGCACAGTTTTGCATTTTGTCTCCTCACTATTACATTTATCAAATTTGGTTTCATTTATTTGTTAGTCATTACAGTCTCTCACAGTGGTTGATTTTTAATAGGTCAAAAAAAATCAGAGAAATAGATGATTAACGATGGTAAGGGCATGCTCCAACTGCTGGCAAACTCATTGAGCTTTGGTAAAAGGTAATGCCTTTCCTAACTGCTAGTAGCGCTGATCAATATACAATATGCATGCAGGTGTATACATTTCATAATGGGAATTCCAACTGTCCTATCTAGTAATGCCTAACGAACAAATTTGAGGAATAATATATACCCTTGTGCATGCACAATAATGAATGATAGCAAATGAGCTCCTTTATCACAAAACTATTTAAAAAATTTAAGCAAATGGCTATGTTATATGTGGAGTGATGATTGTGCTCAGTTTTGAACTATATTCATGCAAATACAGTACATTCCTAGATGTACATCTTTATAGCAAACACTGAATTCCAAACTGATCAATATATCACATTAAAAAGCACATGCCCCGGGCACAGCAGTGTCAGTCCATAACTGCAATAGGTAGTTGTAAATAACCACTCATCTTTAAAATGACAATTACCATAACAGATAACTGATCAATATATCTACCATGTTTATTCAGAGAGTCTAATTTTTCAATTCATGAGCTCAGACTAAATTTACAAAGCACACCAACAGGCCACTATGTTGTCCCTTTGTTATAGTGTTATTTACCTGCCTTTTGTTTGAGTGTTTTGTTTGAGTGTCCTTTGTTTGAGTATTTTGTTTAAGTGCCTGTTTCTGTGCATATTCTTTTGTAAAGCGTCTTTGAGTACCTAGGAAAGCGCTATATAAAACCGATTATTGTGGCAGTCAGTGGTAACACAGCATACAGGAAACTCTGTAGTTTTCCCTGATGATTAGATTTAGTAAATGACTAATTGTATAACCTAAAGGATGTCACTTAGGCTAAGAGAGGTGAAAGACAGAGAGAAAAGCAGAAAGGCTTCCAGCAAATCCTGATAAAAGTAAGAGTGATGAGATGAAATAAAGTGAGCAGACTCACCCCTGCTGGTGGTTTTGGTAGGCTGAATAAATCCTTCTAGAGTTCTTCCTGATACTTCTGTGTCTTTTGGCTGCAGATGGAGTCCTGCTACTGCCAACCAAAGGTTCAGACACTGCACTCATGCTGTCTCTGCTCACAGTGTGTACGCAAAAATTAGTGTGTGCAGATCAGTGTGTGAGCACACACTACATGCCACTCCTGACTGGACTGGTTTATTTGTAGTGAAGCTACCTGCTGCTCTGGACCCTCAGTGGAGCATCACACACACATTACAGCAGGACAGACTGAATCGCACCCACTCATCTGTCCAATCACAGCCATACGGACTGCTTAAAGGGACAGCACCACACAGGCCAGACAACTTGTTTAACTGCTACTTATTTACTCAAACTCACCAAGTGTACTGTTGTGTATTACAGGGAGAAAAAAATATTAAAGTATGATTTCATGAGAAACAAAAATAGATAAAAGTCTAATGTGAAAATCAACAAATAATAATAATAATAGGGGAAAGCGAGGTAATATGAGCCAGGTTTTACTCATGTTGTCCTCTCGGAAAGTAAGTATAAGACAGAAGAACAATGAAAACATTTACCCTTATTTAAAGATGAATTTGAAATTATAAAGATGCATCTATGACGAAGGGCCATGAAAATATGACTTCAGAAAAAAAAGTGTTACTGTGGCCCCACGTTAGCGGTAAGTGGATCTGAGTCAGTGGGTAAGATGAGCCATCTGCCTTTTTAAGCATAACTCAAAAAAATATATTACCTTTTTAAAAATGTTATTTCATAATACATTTTCCTTTTACAAATAATCTAATTTTTTTCCTCAATGCTAACTGAAACAACATAAAACCAACCAAACAGTTTAATGTTCCACATATTTTAATGTTTGCTTTTGGTCAAACAATTGTAAATAAAAAAAAAAAAAAAAAATCTGTTAAATGAGGGTTGCCTGGGCTAAATAAAGGATAAATAAAAATAAAATAAATAAATAAGTGTAAATTTAAAGGACAGCCAGCATAGTTTTGAGAAGCAAAATAATAATCCTCACAAAACTGTTCATGGCATCATGTTCCATATAATAAAACAAATAAGTGTTAAGCCTGTTTCACACAGAGCGGGCAAAGCGCTCTGCCGCCAAGCTGAGTGGCATGCGAGAGGGCGCCTGCCGCGGCGTCTGCGCGCCGCCAGCCTGCGCACCGCCAGCCTGCGCACCGCCAGCCTGTGCTTGAATTGAACATTTTTTAATTTGACCGCAACGCGCTGTGACGACACCTCAGCACGTCCAATAGCAGAGAATGTGGTGGAGTGTGAAAAAAAAAACTGGCGGAAAAATTCAGATCAACAGCAAGATGGAGGAGAAAATAATTATGGAACAGCAAGATGGAGGAGAAAATAATTATGGCTGTGTCCCTCTGTGCCTGAAGTAGACCTGGAAGCAGTCATCATGGAGCTGTAACTCCTGAACGAGCCTGTACTCCCCCAAATCCTGTCTTGCCATGAGGATTTCATGGACCCATACCCTTCTTGCTGCTGCTGCTGCTGCTCACCTCCTCCTCCTCCTCCTCCTCCTCAGAAGAAGAAGAAGAAGAAGAAGAAGAAGAAGAAAAACTAAAGCAACTTGAAGCAGGGACAGATACATGATGAAATCTGGGGCGTCAGACCGGAAAAGGGTTCTCAGATAGCTTCAGACACCACACACACACTGCACAGCCATTACAAACCCCTCCCCTCAGGTCTAAGGTACAGATCTCTTGCTTTCAAAACAAAGAGAGCCATGTCCAGCTTTGTACCCTCATCCATCAGACTAATGAATAACAGCTGATTTGATCTGATATGAATGCTTGTGGGTGTGTGTGTTTGTTCTTCTCTCCTTTTAACATTTGTATTTGTATTTTTAAATTTTTAACATTTGTATTTATCTATTTGTATTTATTTTGTTTAATATGCACTGTCGCTCTTCACAGACGAAGTTCCTAACTGAAAAATAAAGTTCTTGGTATTGAATTGAATTGAATTGAAAAGGGCGCTAGACCGGAACCGGAATACTTTTTGGTCGCTTAGCAACTTGCGCCAAATACACTGAACAAAAATATAAACGCACCACTTTTGTTTTTGCTCCCATTTTTCATGAGCTGAACTCAAAGATTTAAAAACATTTTCTATACACACAAAAGACCATTTCCCTCAAATATTGTTCACAAATCTGTCTAAATCTGTGTTAGTGAGCACTTCTCCTTTGCCGAGATGATCCATCCCACCTCACAGGTGTGGCATATCAAGATGCTGATTAGACAGCATGATTATTGCACAGGTGTGCCTTAGGCTGGCCACAATAAAAGGCCACTCTTAAATGTTCAGTTTTATCACACAGCACAATGCCACAGATGTCACAAGTTTTGAGGGAGCGTGCAATTGGCATGCTGACTGCAGGAATGTCCATCAAAACTGTTGCCTGTGAATTGAATGTTCATTTCTCTACCATAAGCCGTCTCCAAAGGCGTTTCAGACAGTTTGGCAGTACATCCAACCAGCCTCACAACCGCAGACCACGTGTAACCACACCAGCCCAGGACCTCCACATCCAGCATATTCACCTCCAAGATCGTCTGAGACCAGCCACCCGGACAGCTGCTGCAACAATCGGTTTGCATAACCAAAGAATTTCTGCACAAACTGTCAGAAACCGTCTCAGGGAAGCTCATCTGCATGTTCGTCGTCCTCATCAGGGTCTCGACCTGACTGCAGTTCGACGTCGTAACTGACTTAAATGGGCAAATGCTCACATTCGATGGCGTCTGGCACATTGGAGAGGTGTTCTCTTCACGGATGAATCCCGGTTTTCACTGTTCAGGGCAGATAGCAGACAGCGTGTGTGGCGTCGTGTGGGTGAGCGGTTTGCTGATGTCAACGTTATGGATCGAGTGGCCCATGGTGGTGGTGGGGTTATGGTATGGGCAGGCATATGTTATGGACAACGAACACAGGTGCATTTTATTGATGGCATTTTGAATGCACAGAGATACCGTGACGAGATCCTGAGGCCCATTGTTGTGCCATTCATCCACGACCATCACCTCATGTTGCAGCATGATAATGCACGGCCCCATGTTGCAAGGATCTGTACACAATTCCTGGAAGCTGAAAACATCCCAGTTCTTGCATGGCCAGCATACTCACCAGACATGTCACCCATGGAGCATGTTTGGGATGCTCTGGATCGGCGTATACGACAGCGTGTTCCAGTTCCTGCCAATATCCAGCAACTTGGCACAGCCATTGAAGAGGAGTGGACCAACATTCCACAGGCAACAATCAACAACCTGATCAACTCTATGCGAAGGAGATGTGTTGCACTGCGTGAGGCAAATGGTGGTCACTCCAGATACTGACTGGTTTTCTGACGCCCCCAGACCCCCCAATAAAGCAAAACTGCACATTTCAGAGTGGCCTTTTATTGTGGCCAGCCTAAGGCACACCTGTGCAATAATCATGCTGTCTAATCAGCATCTTGATATGCCACACCTGTGAGGTGGGATGGATTATCTCGGCAAAGGAGAAGTGCTCACTAACACGGATTTAGACAGATTTGTGAACAATATTTGTGAGAAATGGTCTTTTGTGTGTATAGAAAATGTTTTAGATCTTTGAGTTCAGCTCATGAAAAATGGGAGCAAAAACAAAAGTGTTGCGTTTATATTTTTGTTCAGTGTATGTGTGTGATGTGCGCTTGCACGCCTTGCTCTCCGCTTGCTCTGCGCCCTACCTCGCAGTTTCTGTGTGAAAGCCGCTTTAAGCAGAAAAAAATAAGGAGAGCTGGTGGTGTGCAATAACATTCCGTAAAATTCCAGAACCAGTCTCAACCTAAAAGAATACAATTCATTCTATGGTGTTTAACTACATGAGATAAGTTAGCCCTTGCGAAACTACTAACTTCTATAATATCCTGCACACCCTACCTGATAAAATCTCTCTTACTAGTTGATAGGAGCAGCAATGTTGTTTCTTTTTGACATTTCTAATGACAGTTAATAGCATTTCTTTGAAATAACAGGCAGAAAAACAAGCCAGCCTTTTCGATGTGGACTGCAAGCTCCTTCTCTACAGTGCCTCCGCTGTGTAGATCCTCTTCCACTGTTCCACTGTTCCACTGTTCCTGACTGTTTTACTTCCTTTACCGTCCTTTATTCAAATATACCTCCGCAGGGTGACCTGTCAATATTTTTGTCTTTTCTCACTGATATGATTTTCCACCCTTGACATCAATGGCTGCTCTCAGTCTTTACAGGGGCTGTTGAGCCCCACTTGGTTCCTCTCTGGTTGGTTCTTGGCATGACAGCTTTTCTACAGTGTTAACATGTGATAACCCATGTAATATAACATTGAAACACCATTTATATTTCAGAGACTGTATTTAATTTCATTGCCTTATGGTAGGGTGAATTGGAGCACTGGCTCAATTTACCCCATAATGCTTGGATTAGCAATTCAAGCTAATCTTTGGTTAAATTATTCACATGGCAAACCATCAACATGTATAATTTACATTTTTAGACCTGATCATTTTACCTGATATGCTGAAAAATAACTTTGACAAGCAAAACAATTTTTATGTGTAAATATGAGCTTATACTATACTGATGTGGTTTTCTCCATCACAATGATGGGTGCTTCCTGAATTTAAGGTTACATGACAATACATGTGCACAGTTGCCGCGAAACAATTCCCAGCTGCATGTTGCATAATTAACCTTATGAGATTTTGAGGGTGGTGCTGGAGTAACACCCATAACACTCTAATAATAATAATAATTAAAGCTGCAAGCAGCGATGAATGGGCCCTCGCAGTCCACGCGCATCAGGGCATGCTACCGTCAGGGGGGCGTGCACCTAGAAGTCTTGTCAGCTGTAATAAATAAAAAAAATAAACGTTATCTCTTACTTACATTTCCAGTATACAGGTAGGCACCCAAGCCACGTATGTATTTTTCCAAAAAGTAGAAGCTGAATACATGTCCAATAGTTTAAGGTCTTCTGACTCTTTAAAAGTTGACATGGTGTCTCTAGCTCAAAGTATGAGGGACAAGAAGAGGTTGAAAGTCGATGAGTTTTGAAGAGGATTTGAAGATTTTCCAATTTACTTCCATTCACACTAATTAGACTG